GGCCCCCAGATTCCCACAGCACTGCTGAAGACAGAAGTAACTGTGTATTCCTGACCTTGGGGAAGGTTGTACTGTCTTGAATTAAAATGACCAACTATTTGTCAAAAGAACAGGAAGAGTATTCAGAACAAAACAAAAATACTGTGCCTTGAGAAAAACAGGTTCTTCTCTAGAGTTTGTTTTCCTCCAATTATTAGCACACTAAGTTCTATAACCCTAATCAGGAAAAACAAAGTCCAACATCAAATGGCACTAAATAAAGTGATACCCTGTTTCAGAGCTACTGGAAAATAAAAAAAACCCATCTTTCAATTTTCTAATGCACACTAAAGACTGGGCAATCACTGAAATTCCCTTAATCAAAGTATGACAGAAATTAAGACCAATTATGTTCACTTTTTATTATAAGGTCTTTTCTGAGAATTTCCTGTGGGTTCTTCTCTTCTTACCACTGTCAATAGTAACCACTGTTTATCTTACTGGGATGATTTTACTTCTTTGGAAACAGCTAAATGTTACTCAGAAGCAGAAGTGGTGAAATTAGTGGATCAAGAAAGAGAATAGACTTTCAGATACTGAAAGTGATATTAATTAGATACTCGAAGTGATATTAGATAATACAACTAATAATACAATACCTTACTACCTTCCTTGATGTTATTTCTAAAGAGAGGAGTTTCAAAAATAACTTCAATGGCAGCAGTATTATTATGCTAAGTATTAATTTCCAAAGTAAAACTAGGTGCTTTTGAACGGAATAATATTCAATTTGATGTCAAAATTTTGATATGTCCACTAAAGAAATAATTATAATGAAGTGAACACTTAAACTTTATCTTCTGTGAGGGCTGTTTTCTTAAAAACATTGGGAATTGAATTCGTTGATCTCATCATTCAAATGCTGTGAAGGAGAAAAATTTGTGTTTTACACTCACCCAAATGGGATAAAAGCAAATAAAAAAACATACATGCATATGGTAGTTGTCTATATTTCAATGGCAGATCCCTGATCTTACATATTTTTTGATCACTTTAAAAAGAATAAAAATCTTCTGATACTTTTTTATTGGAATAGGTAGATGGGTGTGTCTGTGCACATATGTGTAACAATAAAAAAGGAAAAAAACAGGAAAATCTATATTCAAAATTCTATGAAGATTTAGGCTTCTATTCAGGTAACATAAAGAGCAATGAGGTTGGTGAGAAGCCTATTACAATTCACTAATACATAACTGCTGCTATATAGCAGCAAGTGTATAGAAGATAAGTAAAGAACATCAGGATTATATAACTCCTTCATAGTTCTCCTAAACATAATGGTATGAATTTAGGACTATGCTTCTATAATGTTAAAGGCCAGCTAGTCCAAATCTATTGTCATGTAAGTCAGCACCTCTGGCAGGTGAAATGCCTGCTGAAGGTCACCCAGCCAGAGGCTGGCAAGGTCAGGATTAGATACCAGCTGGCCTGACCTGCCCAGGGTGCCACACCTGTAAAATGAAGTGAATGGACTAGCACATGGTCTGTAAGGTCCCTTGTGTAGCTCAGTAGATAGGCCTACCTATTACTAACACACTATGCTTATCTCAAATGAACTTGTTTTAGCTCAGGGATGATGCTACAAGCTAAGGAAGGCCTTGTTTACCAAATCACCCATGTGTACCTCAAAAGAAAAACAGTTCTACCCTAGGGGCTATACTCCTAAAGAATAAGCCTAAGACATTTTCTTGTCATTACCTTCCTCAGGCTCCTACCATCATCTGTGGCTCCTAGTCTGTTCATTTTCATTAACTGTCTCCATTAAATTTTATTGAGCTAAATAACTAGATAATATATCTCAATACAATTATGGATAATACATGAAAAGGAACAATTTAGAGACACCTAATTTCTAAACTGTACTCTTCATGATTTCAATTAAATTAATAAACTAGATATTTCATTATATTTCTAACATCATATGAAGAAAAATCAAACACGAAAAAATTGAGCTAAAATATCCTTACGAAAAATAAACATTCCCTTCATTAGTTCATACATTCTTTCTATGTCCAGGAAAGAGAATATAGTTCTGATCTACAGCAATTTTCCTGTCCACAAAGGAGTTAACCAAATCCTATTTCCACTGCTATGGACATCTTTTCTCTCCTTGGCAGCTTGTGCCTCTCTCAATTTTGGAAATGATCTGTTCTCTTAGCAGAGGCCTTTACTTAGCTCATCAGGTCTTAGTTGGCACAGGAGTATGGAAAGTCAGAAGGAAGCATGAAAGTTTCAAACTCTTCCTCCAGTGCCTTTTCACAGGCTGTTCTCACACTGCAGTGTTTGCAGGCTCTTGTTGCAAAGCCCCCTGCCCCTTAAAGTGCAAATGTGAGGAAGAAAAACCAAAAGTACTAGATAGAGAACAAGCAAATGGACTTGGAATTTTATTTTTACAAACCCAATCCACTAGACTTTCCTTTCTGATCACAGACAATGGCACTCGAGGAAGAGAACAATGGGATTCTCTGTGCCTACTTCTCTCTCAAAAAGGTAATTTTATAAAAGTGCTTTCCAAGTAAATAAATAAAATACACTTTGATGAGTAGGTACATACACAGAGGGTGACCATGAGGCATGTTGTCATATCAGTGCAGGGACCTTTATTTACTTTATAAACAATAGTCTAAGGTTAGTGAAGAACTATGCTGTTTGCTTTTTTAAAATCTAGGAAGCCAAGGAGAACCAACTGAACTCATTCTATTGACTGCAGCCTTCAACTTAAACATCAGAGAGACAAAAAAAGTAAGCAGCCACAGTCAATTTGTGTCCAGCTTGTCAGCACACTTTTTCTGATTATCTGAAAATAAACAACATGCTTATTCTACAGAGACAAAGGACCTGCTGAGAGCTTATATCAAGACATACAATCTACTCAAAATAATTCCGTATTTTACATTGTAGGATAGCTGTGTGATTATACAAGGAAAAGAGATCAAAACCCTGTACAGACACCTGGTATCAGACTTGAAACGCCAAGTGGAAACAGAACTATTCAGCATCTTCATTTATACACAATTTACAATATTTGATTCAAAATAAAAATCACAAGAAAAATACATCTGTTTCTGCTACAATTCCTTCCCCTCCCCCGGCCACCCCCCAGTGAAAAGTCTTCTATTAAAAGGTACCATATTACCACCACTGTCTTATTTTGGTCTAATTCTGAGATCCTGGCTTTGGCCAGGTAACATGAAAAGGAATGGCAATACTTGGGATTTATATAACATACACATTTTATCCAAGGATCTCAAGTACTTGCAGTCACGTCTCCAGATCTGAGAAATCATGATTCAACAGAAGCCAGAAAGCTGGACGAATGCTGGGCAGGTTGCATGGGGTGTAAATCCCTTGGCTAAGTCTATGATCAAACAAGGTCAAAGTTGGTTGGGTAGAGCTGGGCTCAATTTCTCTTCTCAAATATATATTATCAATCGACAGTTTTACACTTTCTGAAACCCCAGCCCCACCTCCAGGCTACTGCCTAGAGTTAAAACAAGGGGAAGTAGGCTTGTCCTCATAACAACGCATCAGGATAAAAAGCAAGAACAGGGAAACACATTCATCAGCATCTGGCCAAGGAGACAAGGGCTGGGAGGATTGATTTGGGAGGCCATTCCTAGCAAGAATGAGACAAAGGTGTCAGTTCACTAGGTTCAATTACAGTTAAGCTTTTGGTGGAGTTGATTCCAGCAGAGGTGAAGCTCATGGCATCTAGTGCTTGATTTAAGATAATGCTATTGAATAAGGGTAATAAGAAAACACAGCAAACTAACAGGAAGGAACTGGCCAAGGAATATATCTGGAGGGCCAAAGTGATTTTTTCTTTCCTTATCATTTCTATAGGAGAAGGCAAGGGGTAGAAGAAAGGGGCTAGAGGGCCCCTTATTTGCAGATTTTTTTTTAAATCATTTTTTTCTCATAATTCCGTAATGAAAATGTGTATTACGGTATGATGGTTACAGAACTGCATCTGCTACTGGGTCACCGCTACAGGTCTATGAGCTGATCCACCAGCAGCAAAGACCTGGCTAGGTTGGGAAGACTGGACTCAGAGCTCCCACTGCTGTTTCTAGAGTGCCCACCTGGAAGTGGAGAGATAGGAGTTCAGTACAAAACACAGAGGGTTAAGGTTTAGATGTGCAGAGCAAGCAAAGGAGAAAAAGAAGAAGAAGGAGAAAAAAAAAAAAGAAACCTAGAGAAGCAACATTTTACATTTTCAAACTCATACATATTAATTTAAAATATGTAAATTAGCTATCCATCACCTCCCACCAAAGAAGTTCAGGCATTATGTGCACACTACAGTATAGGCAGGATGTCTTGCAAAGATGATGCTGTTTTCAAACCAATATATATCTTGCCTAAGAACTGACTGTGCACTAGCTTCTCATTATCATCAAGCCATCTCCCCATTAAAGAGAATTTTTGCTTTGGGAGAAATAAGTAAGACTCTGCATTAAGAACATACTTTTAATAAATGGTTCTATGGCAATTCATTGTTTTATGGTACATTCAAATAATTTTAACCCATCCGAGAAGAAAAAGGATGTTCCATAAATGTCCAAAAGATGTGGCTGATGGCAAGGCACCACTTAATCTCTTTGAGAAAATTATTTATCACAAACTGTTCTGATATGATAAAAAATGTTAAATAATTTTGATATATATTTTTGGGTTTCCACAGACTGAAGATCACTATTTTTGGCTTGATATTTTGTAGAAACTATCTTTTAGCCAAACTACTAAATATTTCTCTCTAAATAAATACCAGGAACAGGCTTTAAGATACCTACATCAGTATCTCCATCTCTATCTACACTGGTCCAGCCTATAATGACTGACATTGTCCCCAGTGTTCTTCAATAAATGTTGATGTCCTCCCCACTGCTCCACCTTGCTGATCAGGTACATCAATGAGAGCTGATATTAAGTTCTTCTCTTTTCCCCAACCTCTGTCTTACCTTGTGGATTTTTGGTTATCAATACAGGAATAGGGTCAAACTCATCTTCTGTCACCTTTTCCGAGCCCTCAGGGACATCAAAACCTGAGATGAGATTACTATCTTCTGTAGCTTAATAATGCACGCACACAAGCAGAAACAGAGGTAGAGATTAGCAAATGAGAAACAGGAAGGAAGCAAAAAGTTCCCAATTGTGTACAATCACTAGTCTTCTTAAAGGTGAAAGTACTTATTTTTCTTTCTTTCTTTCTTTCTTTTTTTTTGGTACCGGGGATTGAACTCAGGTCTTTGCGTTTGCTGAACCACTGAGCTAAATCCCCAGCCCTGAAAGTACTTATTTTTCTGAGTTAAAGTAAAAGTAGCAAAACTAAAATATAGAGATTTTAGAAAAAAATGCCTTAGAGTTAGGCATTTTAAGACTTTCATAAATAGTTAGGAAGGACTATTGGAAGAATTCTCTCTACACTTTAAGTGACCATCAACTGTAATTATTGTAAAAGTATCTCTTCAATGTTATTAATTGACAAGGAATTACTTATTTGTCTTTTTATTGAGTGAACAGAAGTAGGGGTAACAATATCTGAAAAACTCAAAGCCAGGAGAGAGAGAAGGGAGGACAGAACTAATAGTTTGAACTACTACCACAAGGGCGGGGAGTACATAGTTCAGTAGAGCATGTACTTGGCATGCATGAGTTCTTGTGTTCAATCCCAGACCAACTAAAAGGCAAAAAACCCAGAACAACAACAAAAGAGAAGTAACCACTATACACAGGGAAAACAAGATACTTATGGAAGGACTCATTATTCTGTAAATGTGAAAAAAGACTTCCAAACAACTTGGAGGCCTCAGGGAATGCTGGAGCACATGACCACATGCACTGGGCTCTCCCGCAAAAGATTATTGGAATAATTCTCCATTCTAATTAAAGCCATCCTACCAGCAAGTGCTAACTGAGCACCTGGTTGGCAAGTGAGGCTTCTCTATAATTACATACTGCTGCTGACACACTACTGCCAGATATAATTATCTAACTAGATAACTTCTTTCAAATACTCTATTAAAAACATCATTTTAATGCTATCGGGTAAAAACAAAAACTCAGCTACTGCCACTATGAACCATGACCTAATTACTCTTAGTCATCTCTGGAAAGCATCCTTCTTGAATTTCCTTTAAAAAAAAAAGGCATTAGAACTTTCTTTTCTATACATTTTCTCCTTCCAGAAAAGGACTTTGACTACACAAGCACAGAAATAAGTTTAATAAATGCCTATGCACAGTAGGCCAGACACTGTGCCTATCATTGCCACAAAATTCTCACTGATATAACTCAATTAAATCTCTGTCGAACAGAATTTCAAACCACTATTAATCTAAGACTAAGAAGTGAAATGGTAGGTTAGAAAGAGCAACCCAGTAATTAATCATGACTTAAAGATAAAGTAAACATTCAAAACTTTCACAAGTTCAAAGCATAGACTGTTAGGGAGTATCTGTTTCTTTATTCAAAGTCCTTAACTCAGATGTGATGAAGTGATTTTACTTTCTAGGGCCACAAGCAACATATGAATTTTTTTTTTTTTTTTTT